AGAAACAGGGCAGGGAAAGGGGTCTCTATCCCACAGGACCAGGCTGGGTGGGTTGGGTGGTCTGACGTACCATGTTCAAATCTGGAGTTTAGCTTGGTTCCACTTGCACAAAGTTTTCATGCTCCTGGCTGAAAACCCTTCGGTTTTTGGAGGCTTTTGTTTTGTTTTAAATGAATGTTGCGATATAAACTTTGTCACTCACCATTTCCAGCTCTGGGCTTATAAGGTGACCAAAATCAACCAATCTGTCCAGGTCATCCTCCCAGAGGTTGGGAGCCAGCTCTTCCAACATGGTTTCAATGGCAATCCTGGTCGTCTGCAGTGCAGCATCCCCATGGTCGGCAGAGCCACTGTAGGACTGGAACTTGGTGTCCAGCAGGTATTTTCCATGGCTCTTGAGCAGGTCAAACAGCCCTTTGTGTTTCATGAGTGCCATCTAGGGCAAAGAACAGAAGAGCTAATTGATCCTTGTATGTGCTGTTGAAAACCTGAGTGTTTCAATGGATTGGACTATAATATCATGTTATACACTAGCAAAGTAATGCCTATGGACATGTTACATGGGCAAGTTCTACCTCTGCAACCTGGAAAACTATTTCTATAGACACAGTTCCTGGTTGGCATGTGTTTGGTGTATATTCAGCAGGTCTCTAGGGCATGTGACCTGACAGTGTTGCACATGTTGTCAGCTATGGTAAGTGAAGATGTATGCAAAAGGCAGTGTGGAAATGCCCAGTGGGGCTCTGGTAAAGTTGCAGAGATGATGGGACCAGTGGTGGGCAAGTTCCCTTGCTGCTGGGTAACCCTGACCACGCTGTGAGCTTGCTACGTGCTCCAGTAGCCCAGCAGAGAGTTTGTAATGACCTTTGGTGACCTGTGTACTAGGCAGCTGAATGATGGCCATGTCCAGAACAGGGACATCCCCAGGATAATGCTCATCTAATCCTTGGGATTGCTTTTTGGGCAAGGGAATGTGGAGAGAGTGCTGCACTATGGGGTGTATGAGTGTTCAGAAGCAGTTTCTTTGTACAAGTACATAGTTTTTCACGCTCTGACAGCTGTTTGCCCCTTCCTGCAGTGGCCTGTGGGTGCCTGCCAGAAACCTCCAGATATCCTGGGGAGTTCCCACTGTGCCAGCACTGAAAAAAGCTACTGATGAACTCAGATCTTATACACTTTAATGGCTTCAACTCTACTTTGTCAAAAGTTTTCAAAGCTCTTCAGGCATAAAACCATTTACTGCGTACTTCCCACGTGATTTTAGAAGTAGAATTTTTCTCGCAGGAGATTGATTGATCCCACTCGACATACCCCCTGAGGTGGGTGCAAATGATCTTGCAGATTATTAATCCCCAGTATAATGAACCTCAAATTTTCTGCCAGCAGCTCATTTAGAGTGCTATGGATCAGCCTCAATGGGAAGACGCTTTCACCCCTGGTTGTGCTGTGTCTACATCTGGCCTTGAGTTTTGGAGTTTACTCCGCAGATCTAGGCCCTGCATATAAAGGATATTCTAACAAGTTTAGCAGCTGTAAAAATACAGGTTCAATGAGAGTTAAAAGCGCCCATGCACCCTTGATGGCCCACCCTTGTTTGCACAAGGCAGTCTATACAATGCCATGGATGCTGATGGACATCTCACCAACATTTCAGGTTTGAAAACTGCCGTTGCAAAAGCTCATACCTTTAAAATTTCACCGAGGCCATTGGAGATGTGTCGCCGAGGAATGCTCTGAATGAAAGATCTATCCAGGAAACTGGCTACCGGGGGTGTGTAGCCCCCGAGCTTGTTCTTACACTGCAGGAAATTCACCCCATTCTTTGCCCCTACACTAGCATCAACGTAAGAGAGAAGGGTTGTTGGGACCCGAATGTAAGGAGTACGTCGTCTATAGAGTGATGCTGCTAGTCCTACGATGTCCAGGCAGACGCCTCCTCCGATGGCGATGATGGGCTCGGTTCGCCTGTCGATGCTGAAGTTCTGGACTTCTTGTAAGATGTTCAAGACCAGGTCCATGGATTTTGTTTCTTCGGTGGTAGGCAGAGCGAGGATTTTGTGCTGAACGTTATTCTCTTCGAAGTATTCTCTGACTTTGGAGCCATAAAGTTCATCAACAACTTCATCTATGACAATAAAGCGCCTCAGCTTCCTTTTGCCGCTAGTGGCTAGCTCTACTTGCTGGGGGTCAGTGATGTGACCCCAGAGCAGAGTAGTGTTAGAGGGATCCAGAATATTGTAGGTTTCTACCACTTTGTAGCAAAAATAGATGGGAGCTTCAATTGTCCAGGCAATCCCACCTTCAGAGACGCATTCACCACTGGCAAGGATCAGAAAACATGGTTTGAAATCATTATATTACTCTTTCATATTTTGCATCTCTGAACTAGTTCAGAGATGGGGGTGGAAATGTGGGATTTCCTGCCCGTGCACTGAAAAAATGTGGGGCTATGACGGTGGGACAGGTCTCCTGAGTGTCAGAACTCAACTGCTTTGGCACTGAAGAAACCTTCCATGTCTTGGTGAACGGTCAAATGGCTGAACTTCTACATGGTGGTGATAAAAATAGAGAGCAAAAAAGGCTGAAATATTCATGCTGGAAGTTGAAAATCCCAGCAGAAAAACCCAGACCAATCATTTCAGCCTCCCAAAAGGGAGTGGGGAAGGGATTGCCAAAATTTCCAGTGTCTTTATGAAAGGAATATCCCCCACTTGGTATATCTGGGTGCTAAGAGTTGATTTATTCCTGTCTGTCTGCACACAGCCATGCACCTCCACACAAAATAGTGTCTCCACAATACTCCAGTTGAAAAGGTGGAATACTTCACCTTGAAATAGGTACGATAGAAATAGGAACTGCTCACAGGTAGTAAAAGAAAATGATTTGAGGTTTGGGAAAGATTTCCATACTGGAGTTTTAAAGGATTAATAAAAGCCTACAAAGCCAATATGTAGTATCTATCTAAAACAGTGCAGAACACAGCCCTGCAACCTAGTTTTTACTTCTGTTGGGAAGAGGGACCAGGGGAAAAACAAGTGGCCTTTTAGTTTGTTGGGAATCAAGAAAAGAAACAAACAAACAAACAAAAAGAAGGAAACTGCAAAATGTATTTTATATAAGACCACTTCTTGAGCTGTAGTTAGGTAAAAATTGAAACTTTCCATGAAATCTTTGTTTTGTTTTTTATTTTGAATGAGCATTTTATTTGAATGAGCATGAATGAGCTCATTGAATAATCAGATTCCTGTATATGCCTGATTTCTTTCCACATGCCTGAACTTTCTCTTATAGGTCTAAACAGATGATTGTCTGCTTTCTTTACTAAATTGCCTCTAAGTCTATCCCAAACCTTTATAAGCGTTAAAGAAAAACAGTAAGGATTTACACCTTCCAGAAAATTTCTTTCTGTTCATCTTTTAAAATGCAATATTACAAAAAACCCCAACATTGTGTACATTTAAATGCACCAAATATATACCTTATAGCTGTACTTTAATTACATGTGCGTCCGTGACCCTTCTGAGAGACAGGATGGTTTTGAGTGTTAGTTGGCAGAGTCGGCTTTTAGCACCCATTGCAACCCCTGTGCTGTGTGAAAATAGTAGTGAATTCGAGGCTGAACATCCCCTCATTGAAGCATATGTCAGCTGGGGATTTTTCTGCACATGCTCTGGGCCCTAGGTCCATCCTGCTGTTGTCTGAGGTCCAGCAGACTGCCTTTGGGTCTGCTAAAGCCCTGTTCCCTCTGCTGCAGCTCCTGAGCGATGCTGGTACCCAGCCTCTGCCCACTGTCAGCGCTGACAGAGATCCCTCTGACCTGGCTGAGGGAAGGGGTAGACTCGTGACATTAAAACCTGAGTGTGACAAATGCTATAAAACCTTTGACAGGCAAAACAAAGCTGTATTAAGGAAGACCTGCATCGCAAACTGGGTTCCACATGTTTGTGAAAAGGAGTATCCTGTAATTAGTGGATAATTAACTAGAGAGTTGTAATATCAGCAAAGAGCTGCATGTGTCCCTAGGGGAAATTTGTCTCTCTGTCTGAAGCAGCACTGGGTGACTTCTGCAGTTTGAGAAATGTGTTATGGCTTTTGCTCCTCTCAGTGATGTGCTGTGTTGATTTTTCCCACCTGGGGATTTAATTTACCCGAAACTCTCTCCATAAACATGTACTTCTCCCATGTCTGTGCCCAAGCTTTCCCACACCAAGATTTCCCCTACATGCCAGGGAGGAAAAAGCCCAAGTGCATCACTTGGTAGTCCCTACATAACCATTTCAGAAGTTTTCAGAAACTTCCCATCTACAAAAATTCAGGCTGTTGATAAAATTCCCTCTGTAACTTTGCCAAGCCATGCCAAGGAGAACAGCAAATACCTGTGCTGCCATATTGCACGTTTTGAAGCCCACTTTTGTAGGCATGTGCCCAAAATGCTAGGTTTAACCCACAAGAGCACACAAGACATTTTTCCATCCCATCAGAGAGACCGTACAGTTTGGTTGGCCAGACCCATCCAGTGCAGTCACGAAGGAAAAACATGGGCTCCTATACTTACATTTTTGCTTCAGAGAGAGTTATCTTGTCCTCACAGTCTGAAAGGACTTCTCCTTTCTTGATCCGGCACCACGTGCTCTTGACTCGTACCAGCTGGAAGTCTGTCTGCTGGGGCTCCTGAGGCATGGTGCCCTGGGCCACTGGAGCAAAAGCTTTCTCCGAGACCGGCATGCTTCCAGAAGGCAAATCTCCCCGTTAAGAGATCTCCCGTAGCTGGGTGGCTTTGAGGTGCTTTTTAAAGGCTCCAGGTGACCAGGTATTGGAAGGGGAGGTCTTGTCTCCACGGGGAAGACCAATTACAAAACGAAGATTACCTAATCTGGGATGCATGTTAGGGGTGGAAGGAACATTTGAAGACACGTGCAAGTACCAGGATGGGGTTGTATAATCAGCTAGTTTTATAATGCTTAAGAAGTACAATAGGGGTGCCTACGTTAAGTTCCAACATGACGCCCTACAGCAAATTTAAAGTTATGAAAGGCAACTTGTGTGATTCTCCATGACATTCAGGAACCTCCTTTGCTCTCTGGAGCCTCTGATCTGTCTGCAGCACTAACCTGTTCTTACAGGGCGAGACAGGAGCAGGAGTGTAGGGACAGGATCCATACGGGCTGTTTAAACTTCTCTTGAACTCACGTTCCTGTGATTCCCTTGCCTGAGAAAGGGAATGATTTTTTTATTACTGTTTTTAGCTTTTGTGGTGGGTTTAAAAAAATAATAAGCTAGTTTGTCCCCTGAAGGGCTGTTTGGGGGATGAGCTGAGTTGTGACTCCTTTGCCCAGCTGCCTGTGGAACTCTGATATGCTGAGGTTTCTTTGCAGTGGGGTCATTTCAGGATCAACAGTGTGATCCAGGCAATGGGATCCCAGCCTCTCTCTGCTTTTTGGGTCCTGAAGTTTCCTACAATTGTCGTCACCTATTTGTCATATTAAGGCTCTGCCAGATCCCACATGAGTACCCAGGGAGAGTCTATCTCCCTGATCTGAAGGCACAGTGATCCCGTGGGATGGGGGCAGCCAGAGGGATGAATTCCCCTTCTCTAGGAAGCAGTGGTGTCGTGGGGGGCTGTCACCCTGCTTCCCATGTGACCCAAGGGATGGGCAATTCATCTTTCCATATGATCTTCCACCTGGGGCTTTCGGAGGACCCCGAGCTCATCTTGTCACAGCAAACACTGCCTTGGCATACAGCTCTGTGTGCTGAGCACAGGGGAAGGTCTTCCTTTGATTTCACCAGCAGTGCCTGAAGGTACAAAACCCGTCTTTGCCTTCTCCTTGGCCTTGTTTCTGAAAGCTGGCCTTGTTCAGAAACAAAGATCAAGAAAACCCAAAACAGGCATAAAAGCAGAGGCTGGAAAAATTGGTTCTTCAAGATCCCATCAGACAAGAGCGAGCTCTCATTGCAAGGAAGGCTTAATTGCAGCCAAACTCACTTAGGAACCTACGTTTATCTCAAATTTGTGAGAAAACTACCAGAGTAAACTCTAAAGCCATCTAGCCCTGCTTCAGGGAGGGTAATAGGAACCTACTCCCATCAATCTCTCACTGCTGGCTTCATCTCCACATGGCAAAGCACATTGCAAAGAGGACAGACTGTTACCCCCATTTTACAGAAGAGGAAAATAGAGTCACCAGAAGAGAAGCAACTTGCCCAAAGTCACCTCCAAAGGTAGTAGAAAGGAGGATTAGATGGCATACTAAAGCTCTAAGCCTGTTTACCAAATACTCATCTGAAATTTTAACTCCTAATCCAAACACAAGGTGAATTGCTTTCCACAGGGACTGCAGGTCTCATGCAGTTTGTTGTTTACTAAATCATGATGGAATCATCTTAGGCATACAAGGAGGTCTCTCCTCTCTGCCTTATTTGTTTTGATTAATACAAATCCACTGAGCATTGGGACTTAATTTACTTTTCTTTTTATTCTGTGCATTTACTCATTTTCCATTTATACTACCCTGCTCTATTCTGGGAGCATTGAAATGTCTTCTGTTTCATTTTAGAAGTTGACAAATTGACTTTCCAACCTCTGTCTGCTTGCCGTAGCCAATGCCTGCCGTGTTCTTGTACCATCCACCCTGCAGAGAGGTTGCCTTGCAGTGAAGACCCGCTCCCCCCCGCCTTTTCGTCTCCTCTGCCCAGCCCCGGGCTCCCTCGGTATGCTGTGCAGGTTTGCTGAGTTGGTCCTTCACTGAACTAGCCCAGGGTGATACATCCCAGAGCTGAAAGATGCTGTTCATGGACTTGTCCACTTTTCCGCATTAACTTTGGTTTGTGTTTCATCTGCGTGAAGAGGAGACAGCCGGCTGACCTCAGCTCCATCACATGCTTTTTAATTACTTAATTCCTCACCAGCCTTTTCTGCTCCAACTCTGCTGCAGGCCAGCTTAGGCTTTTGGATACTTCGGATGTTCTCAGTGGTTTCTCCTGATGCCTCCTCCAGCCATTGCATTCCTGGGACCATTTCTGGGGGTACAGGATGACTGGTACCTGTGTGACACAACCTCCTCCAGTCCATGCAGAGACCTGGCCTCTGACCCAGACCCAAGAGCAGTGGGTGCCTCAATTTCGGCCATGTTTGCCCTTGTAGCTATGGACAACTAGTAGATAATCTGGAGTTGAAAGTCCTAGGGCTTTTTTGGCCCTATGCCTGGTGGTTTAGCCAGGACACATGTCTGTGCTATGTAACCAGAAGGTTATGAAATTGCTGATTATCTCCTTGAGAGCCAGCAGCTTCCCGAGGTCAGGATGTGAACGTTGCTCTTACGTAAAGTGAAGGCATCGAAAGTCGGCTTTTGTTTTTTGTTCTTGTTCCATGTCAGATGCTGTTGAATCTCACCCGCTGCCTGTAGTCTGGGTGGGGGCAGGTGGGTGCAGCTGGAATGGGTGTAGCCCCAGCCCGGGGCCATCCTCCCTGCACATCCTTTTCCCAGGGCTGGGGCTCTGCCCAGGTGATGTTGGATGGAGAAGCCCATCCCCTCGATGGACACCTGAGCACCGACGTGCTGCTCTGCAGAGGCAACTAACGCACAGCAGCATCCTCTGAGGCCGGGGGACAAGAAGCAACATGCATAATCCTGCAGGTAAACTCCCTGTGTGGGGTGGGGAGCTCCAGGAGAGGTGGTGTGACAGGAGGGGACACGGTGTGATATTCCAGTCCTGGGTCCCCCACTGCCTGGCAGAGATGTGACTTGACGTATATGTGGCTTGGCAGAAAGGATCAGAAGAAGGGTTTACTGGGGAGAGGAGTTTGAGGCTGAGCAGGGGGGTGGGTCTGCAGGAACCTGAAGTGGAGGGAGGAGGGTGCAGGAGAAAAGGGATGGGTAGGAAGGTGGGCAGTTGCAGTGCCAAGAGAGCTTTGGCTGTGACTAATTTCTGATGGAGTGGGATGCTTGTTTTATAAATATTTTTTCTGCAGCTTTAACCTTGTCTTGTTGCTTTCTGTGATAGCCACGTGTGCCTGGTGTGGCACACAGTGAGATGTTTGCTGCCTTTTTCTGGCCATTTTCTAAAATCAACAGCTGAGTGTGGGAACCCAGGCTGCTCTGAATGGGGAGACTTTGTTCTCTCGCAGCCTGATCTAAAGCCCATTGAAGCTGTCGAAAGACTCCCCTTGACTGCCTTGGGCTTCGGATCCCACTGTCAGTGTGTTCCGCTTACCCCTGCCACACACAGCGGCCTTTATTATGCATGAAAATAAATGTATGCTTTGCATACTCTCTGCCAGTGACTCCAGAGCCTCCCTGCTGCAAGCAGAGGAGCACTGGGGAGCATCCAGCTTTTCTACTTCTTTTCTGGGAGTAGAGCCCATAGAAAACACATCAGCCAGCATATGTGTCGTGTTTTACTCTGTGAGGAAAACATATCGTGCTGGTTTTAGTGTTTTTCCTCACCTCTCCTGAAGTTCAGGCAGAGTTTAGCACCCTGGTTGCTGCTGTGAGCAGCAGCTTCCCCACCCCGGCTGCTTTCTAAGCGCAACCTCTCCCCATGCCATCACTGCTGACTTTGCTGCAGGCGCTGGCACTACCTATGCTGAGGCCAAGCTCAAGTGTTGTGATAAGCTGTTGTCAATGCCTGAGTTGCCTGGGTGAATATGATGGCTGGAGTTGTTTGGGACTATTTTATCAGACAGGATTTATCACAGAATCGTTGAATGGTTTGGTTTGGAAGAGACATTAAAACTCATCTAGTTCCAGCCCCCCTGCCATGGGCAGGGACACCCTCTGTTAGACCAGGTTGCTCCAAGCCTCATCCAGCCTGGCCTATATCCACAGCTTCTCTGGGCAAACTGTTCATGTCTCACCACCCTCGCCATGAGGAATTTCTTCCTTATATCTAATCTCAGTCTACCCTCTTTTAGCTTAAAGTCATCACCCCTTGTCCTATCACTATGTGCCCTTGTAAAAAATGTCTCTCTCCAGGATTTCCAAGTGTTTAGCACTAAGCAGCTGCTGCCAAAGTGCTCGGCACCAGAGCACTGAGCTGTCTGGCAGCACAGTGTTTGGGTGGATCAGGTTCAATGCTCTGGCCTGGCTGGGAAGGGGAGCTCTTCTGGAAGTCATTGCTGGGGCTGCAAAGTAGAGGCTGGAAGGTGAAATGAGGATAGCCCCAAAATGGGAACCAAATGTTTGGTCCCACATCTTTGGATGTGGCATCTTTACTTTGTTTTTGCCAAATCCAGACTGCTTCTTCCATGCCTTCTCCTGGGCACCCCCTGCAAAACCAGTACAGCATCCTCCCCTTTCCTGGCTGAGCTCCCTGTTCCCAAAAAGTGCCGTCTGCGCTGAAGTTGCAGAGTTTAATTTCTTTTCTGGAGTGGTGTGTCTCTTCACGGTGCTGCACACCCTGTTCACTCATGTCCCTCACATACAGCCTTGCCCCCACCTGTAGTCCTGACTTCAGTATGAACCAGAAGTCCCTGATTTCAGAAAAAGTGGAAGCTGCAGTCTCTTATTCAGCTTAGCTGTAATACTGTCTGACTGTGCTCTCAGCATCTGCCAAGGAAGGTGCTGGGAACCATCCTGCTGGCAACTGTGGTCCGTTTTAAGAACTGCCACCTTATCTTTAAGCTGCTGGAGGCTTAAAGGAGCCCTTTCTTGCTCTTTCATGGTAGGGCTTGAGCTCCTCTATTTTGCACCTGGCAGCATTTTCCTTTTCTGAGTGAGCTCCCTTTTTTTCCTGTTTTTTGTTTGTTTGGTTTTTTTTTTTTTAATTATTTGTTTGTTTGCTTTTTTTTCCTACTTTGCTGAAGATGATGATGCACAATTAAATGGGAAAGGAAGAGTGATGCCTGTTCATAGACAGAGCTATGGGGAGGCAACCAGGCAGTCTCATTTAGTGCTTAATATTGTCCAGCAGCTTTGCTGGAGTTGTGCAAAACTATGCGCTAAAAATGAAGTAGTTTTCCTGGAGCAACATAAGAAAAAAGCAGTTACATAAATTTTCCCTCACGTTAGGGCTCAGACCCCTGAGTATAGCATGGCCTGGCGCTGTAGCCAACCCTGAGCTCTGCTCTGACTTGTTGGGTGCTTGCATAAATGAAGGCAATTCTGACCTCTGCTGTTGGCCCACAGCATCATCGGGCTGTAAAAAAATGCAGCGCTTCCTGACAAGATTGTATAATCTCTGATCTGGAGTTGATCTTGGCATGCACCGCATGCTCCCTCTCCCTGGTAGCACTTCTTGGCGCTTGCGGTCGGTGTTATAACACAGGTTACAAAACGGCTGGAGGTAGATCTCGTTTTCCTTCCCCTTGAGTGACAGGGGATTCTTGTCTGTTACTCATCCAGAAGCGTAACATGATGATTACTAAAATCTGACATGGATTATAAACATGGTTTTTTTCCCTAAATTAACAAAAAGCCTCAGAGTGCTTGGCAGGGAGGATGAGCAGATCCTGATGTCCAGCATCCTTCTGCCAGCAGGAGCCTGGAGATGCTCACTTCCACGGTGGTGAAGACGCTGGGGAAAGACAATGAATGTATCTTTGCACAATGTGTAGCTGGGCTGAGGTCAACAAACTTACATGGTGTGGGAAGGAGTTGACTACTCCTGCACTTTGCAATTAAATCTAAAACTGCTGAAAGAGATATAAGTCGCTCCTCAGGGGAGAGATTGGCATGAGATGTAAATTGGGGGCTGCTATAGCTAGCCTGTATCTGCCTTGCTCATATGTCAGGTTGGGCTACTGCCATGGGGATGATGCTGTCTATATGACCTTTAGGTCTGGTCCAGGCTGGCAATTTCCATGTAAACTGCACATATATTTTATGTTCCTTGTCTGCTTTGATAATTTTTGTAATTTGGATAATGAAAATTGATGAAGTTGTCCCAAAAAGCAGCAAAGTAGTTTAGTAGCTGCAGAAAACTGAGATATGCTGCTCTGAGAAGCAGACCTTTGCGGAGGTTTAGACCTTTCCTTATTCCCAAAGACATGAGTTTATTCATATGGTGCCCCTTCGTACCAGGAGGAGTGTCCCCCAGTAACTGGAAGCCCTGGTGCTCATTTGGTGATGGGGCCATGTGCCGTACCTCCCTTCAGCTTCGTGTGTGGAGTAGTTGTAGAAAGAGACACTCAAGGTGGTCATGTCCATAATGAGGAGACTTGACTGTTTCTCAAGTGAAGTCCTGCGTTGAGGATATGTAGTTGCTCAGTTTAACTCAGGTTTAGCCCTTGAAATGCTCAGGCAGAGAAGACATTAAAAAACAAACACCCTCCTGTCATGTAGATTTAGATCAGATCTAAAGATCTAAGAAATTCTTCCCAGAGAGGGTGGGGAAGCACTGGGACAGGTTGCCCAGAGAAGCTGTGGATGCCCCATCCCTGGCTGTCTTCAAGGCCAGGCTGGATGAGGCTTTGAGCAACCTGGTCTAGTGGAAGGTGTCCCTGCCCATGGCAGGGGGGTGGAATGGGATGGTCTTTAAGGTCCCTTCCAACCCTAACCATTCTGTGATTCTACGTTACCACTTGGCTAGAGGCTGACACCAGACGTCCATCAAGGCTGGGTTAGGGCTGACACCCAGTGTTTTGGGAATATATTCAAGGTGGCATTTTAAGTAGATGGGAAAGAAATGGACAACAGAGAAATCAGAGGCACATGTGTATCTCTACCTTGTAGTCTGATCCTTTAATGTTCTTCTGCTTAAAAGCTATTCCTAAAACGTGCTGTTGCATTTGCCTTCATACTGTTTTTCTCAACGGTGGGTTTCATAAGGCTATGCTCTGATGTCCCCAGTGACCTCATACGGCAGCTCTGCTGGCAAGCCATTCCAGGATGGGGATGTTGTCCCTGCAGCTACAGCAGTTTCACATGGCCAGGGCTTTGCCTGGGCCAGTCCCCCAGAGGAAACGTGTCTTCTTTTCACCCACTGCGTATAGTTGTCTGCAGCTTTTCTGTCATAGGGAATAAAAACCCTGCCAGGGGCAATCTGCTCCACCCCAGTTATGCTCCCAGCCTACTTGCCCTCTGTCTCTGAAATCCGCTCTCGCTGGTGCTTTCATAACCCAGCACGTGCCCTGACACTTGAGGAGTGCGGGAGTTTTTCTGCATCGTGTTTTGCTGTGTGTGGGGCCATAGCTCACTGAGAGCCATCATTGCATTGCTGCCATATGGGTTTTCTGGGGTCTCAGGGCAAGTGCCATAGCAGCATTGCGTTTGTCCCACGGGCAGGGTGATCTTGATCCCGGAGGTGTATGCTAGCCTTTGAAACACTGACGTGATGTTGTGTGGTGTGTAACTGTTTCTCTCTCCACCCGAACAATCTGCTTTTGGCAGGGTTCTGGCTTGTGAAAAGATGCTGGGAGATGTGCCATGCGGCACTGATGGGTTCAAACAGAGTTAGTTTTTGTGACCTGAGAAACAGAGGGTTCAGGATGGTGCATCACCACTGCAAGCTGTTGTGGTTAGGAGGTTGTGTTCCTGCCAGGGTGATTGCTACATCACCTGCTTAAAATCAGTAGGTGTAAAGTATCTTTGATTTTATGCCATCATGGATTTGGGACAATGATTTTTTTATTGGAGTATTTGTCAATTCAGCTGCACCAGGACTGGGGTAGTTGTGTTCTGGGCAGGGGCACTGTGCGCTGCTCTGCAGACTGTGCAAGCAGCCTCCATGGCACGGACACGTGTCGGGGGCACTCGTGCACCCTGTTGGTATGCAGGTAGCGGAGATCCTCCTTTATTCAAAGGTAGCGTGTCCTGGCCTGAGAGGATCTGCCTGGTTTTGCAAGAGCTGTTTGAGAAGTGCTCTGTTTTCTCCAGGGAACAAACTACTTAGAAGGGTGGGTTTCATGTGCAGTTGTTCAGTGTTTGCCTCAGAGCTTCAAAAGTGAAAATTCACGGTTTTGAAATATTCTGATCCTTTTCCTCTCAGCAGCGGGGGGGG